TTGGGGTTGCCCCAGGACTCAGTGTTTTTTTGTTTTGTTTGTTTGTTTGTTTTTCCTGAGGACAGGGTTGGTTCAGATTCTCATTCAGATATGTCTTCCTTTGGAATCTACTGTGGACAGCAAAGTGTAGACTGGTTCCTGCTATAGTTACCATGCACCAACTATAGGCATGAATGTAGGCTACTGTGGTCTTTTGCTTGCTGTAGATCTGGGGACCACTCAGCTCAAGCCTCAAGGAGGCAGAGGGCCGGGAGGTGAACATCTGACTCTCTGATCCGGCTGCTTTGTTCTTGGCTCTGTTTGTACACCCTAATGCCTCAATTCAAGGCCTGGTTTGGGGGTCTTGAGCTTCACTGATTCCCACTGTCAACCCTGGCCTGAATGACTATTCAATTCTGCTATAAAACTGGAAAACTGTCAGTAGAGTTTGCTGCTACTCTGAGGCCATTATATGACATATTCTCTAGGGCGTTATAACCATCAGGGAACTGATATCTCTTCCTCCTGTGAGGCTCCTCTTCACATTTCTCTTAGCCTCTGTCTACCATTCCATCACCCCCACCTCCCACATGCTGACTTTGTGCTTTCATAAATAGCTAGCATCCTTGAACAACTTCTATAAAAGCTTAAAGGTAACATCCTTTTCTTCATAGCACTTCCATATTATTATTTGATCCCCACAAAAAGTCTTTCAGGTATGTAGGTTAGTACATTATCCTGATTTCACCAGCAAAGAGATAGAGACAGGCACTTAGTTAATGTGGAACTGGTATTAGGACACAGTTTGTTTTTGTTGGTGATTTCATTCATTCTTTTCTTAATTTTTTTGTTCATTCATTTATATATTCATAGTGAGAGGCAGCAAAATGGAAAGATCAAGGGTTTTGGAGACAGACAAACTTTGGTTTGAAACTTGATGGCATCTCTTATTAGCTGGGTGACCTTGGTCATATACTTACCCTCTCAGAAGTTGTTTTCTTCTTTTTAATATAAGGAAAAATTATGACTTATAATGTTTATATGTGATTTAGCACTGCATGAAAATTACCTAGCAATCATAGCATCTGGCATATGGTAGGCTATAGGTAAAATGTTACTGTAAGTATATAATATGTAAAATAGGTTATTATAGTTTAAAAATGGTCAAATATTGACAATTTTATAATGGTAGAAACTCAGTGGCTACAATTTATTGAGTCCTTCCCTTTTGTATATGAGGCCCAGCTATACCCCCAAAATGCAAATAGAAATGAGACAAGGTCTTTGTGTTTCTGTATCTTCTACTAGACCAGTGATGGCGAACCTTTTGAGCTCAGCGTGTCAGCATTTTGAAAAACCCTAACTTACCTCTGGTACCGTGTCACATATAGAAATTTTTTGATATTTGCAACCATAGTAAAACAAAGACATATTTTTGATATTTATTTTATATATTTAAATGCCATTTAACAAAGAAAAATCAACCAAAAAATGAGTTAGCGTTTCACCTCTGACACGCGTGTCATAGGTTCGCCATCACTGTACTAGACTGTGGTTGTGGAGGGTAGAGCCTGTTTTAGTAGCATCCCCAACACTAACAACAATGTCTGCTAGGTAATGGGTGCTCAATAAATGCTTTCTGAAGTGAAAAGTTCCCTGCCTACCAGGAGATTACCAACTAGTTAATTGCATAGTCATATAATTATAGTAAACTTTTACAGGTATTTAGATAGACACATACAGGCTGTGGTGATAGTGAAAATGAAACAATGCTCAGTTCTACTGGGGGAGTGTGAAGCACAGTGGAGAGGAGGGGGCAAAGTATCATAGAGCAGGTGCCGTGATTAACCGTGGTCTGTCTGTGGAAAGAAGCAAAACCAATTTGCTTATCTTGAACTACATACTTTCTCTCAAAGAAGCCCCTTCTAACGTGTGCAATTGAGTTTGTATTCAAAGAAGCTTCTTTGTTTGTCTCACAGTCCCTCTCTTACTGGTATCTCCCATAATGTATTGCTTTGTAAAGTGCTTTGCTCTATTCTGAGTATAAAAGAGATGCTCAGGAAAACCTGATTCTATTCTCTGAGTGTCAACTAGCCATTGCATAACAAAGTGCAATACATTGTGTGAGAAGAAATAGAGGAACACAGAGATGTTTTAAAGAGAATAAATAAAACATCAAAACGGGAGTGTGTAGAGTGCATTAAAGTTAATGAACTGTCATGGCAGAGTGGACCACTTTTCAATGTGAAGGAAGCTGATTTAGTGACTGGTATCTAAATGATTAGAATCCATTGGAATGAAGTTAGCTGCTAAGCCCATTTACTGCTCCCTTTGCCAGTACCTTTCTTATTTTCCTCCCACTGCTAGTCTTGCCAAATTCTAAATCTTTTAGTGTTCTTTGAGAACCAGTCCTTGAAATTGAACAGATTATTATTATTATTTTGTCAATAGCTCTTTGAGATGCTAAAGGGGTGGGCAGACTTTTTGGCTCGAGGGCCACAATGGGTTCTTAAACTGGACCGGAGGGCAGGAACAAAAGCATGGATGGAGTGTTTGTGTGAACTAATATAAATTCAAAGTAAACATCATTACATAAAAGGGTACAGTCGGTCTTTTTTTTTCAATAGTTTTATTCATTTCAAATAGGCCGGATACGGCCCGCAGCCGTAGTTTGCTCACGGCTGTTAAACCCATTGGTCTTACTTTGAATATTCAGTGCTGCTCAACACTGTATAGCACTGCTCTGATATTTAGAGTTGAGGAGGAGGAATTCAGGCCCTGGCTCTAATGCTTGATTGGGACCAGCTAATCAGCATAGTCTTCCAGGGCTCCTGTGGTCATTCCCTGTTTCCACAGAGGCACATAGACCAGAAAACTGTCAGGAGTCAACTTTGCTCAGGTGTGAACCACTGAGCTATTCATCTTATTTGCAAGAGATAGACAAGGCGATAGATACAGGTCTCCGTCTTGGCAGTGTGGAAGGATGCCTACAACGACAAGAGTTCCAAGGTTCTTTCTGCCAAGAACTGGATTGGATTTTGTGCTTCTTCAGCCACAAAATGTCCCCAGCATCTTACTCCCAAATCATTAATGCCCTTTGCAGTCAGTCTGCTCAGCCTGAACATCCTTATCTCTCTTTACTCAGCACCATCATTATTGTCTTCTTTTGCTAGCTAAACTCTCAAAGTTTATAGATCCCTAATATATTAATGTTTTGTTTTTTTTTCCAAACAAGTAGGAGATATTAGGTGGCATTTTTATCCTTGATTACACTCCCTCTCTCTCTTTGGAGAAGAATGAGAATTGCTGATTCTGGTTTTGGGTGCAGTTTGTAGAATATTTCCTTGGTGTATAAAAATGCTAAGTTTATATATTGGCATGCTGGCATTTATTGACCTTGGGAACATTACATAACTGTTTTAAGCTTCAGTTTCTCCATTTGATAAATGGGGATAAAATGACTAGTTTATAGGGTTTCAGTGAGGACCAAAGAGACTCCATATGAGGAAATGCCTAACACAGTACACAGCACATAATAGAGGTACAATAAATTATTATTTAAAACAAAGCAAAACAACTGAAGCAGGACCAGTTCTACTGAAATAAAAGGAGCTGTTGGAAAACAGTGAGAAATATAAAGAGAAATCGCAAAGCTGTATATAGAACTGTGTCCTCAGTCTTGTGCACAGTGTAAGATTTAGGGGAAGTAAAAAGTAGGAGTTTGTTGTAGGTAAAAGGTGGTGAATTGTATGGAAACATGGGAAGTCATTTCAGAGAAGTCACTACTATAGGATGGCATGAAAAATTTTTCAAAAGTGCCTCTAACATGCCCTGGGCCTGGTGCACAGTTGGTTGGAGTGTTGTCCCATACACCAAAAGCTTGGGTGTTCAATTTCTGGTCAGGGCACATACTTAGGTTATGGGTTCAGTGTGATGTGTATGGGAGGCAACTGATCATTATTTCTCTCTCTCTCTCTCTCTCTCTTTCTCTCTCTCTCTCTCCCCGCCCCCTCTGAAAAATACCTTGGGTGAAGAAAAAAATAGTGGCTCTAACACTATAGCAGTTATCAGTAGCATTTGTTGAAATCATAGTACTTTGATGCATGAACAAATCAAAATAAAATGACTTCTTGTGGTAATGGGTGATTTGAGAAGCAGTGTGATGTAATACAATGGAATACAAATTGGCCTAAAAATCAGAAGATCTGGATTCATATTTGTTTCACAGAAGTGGTTCATGGTTTTGGATTTCTGAGCTTTTTTGAGCCTTAGCTTCAGCATCTATAAAATGGGGATAACAGTACCTTTCTTATTTTCCTCCCACTGGTTTATTGTAAGGATCAACTGAGATTTTTTTAAAGTACTGCCTACATATTGGCTGTTTTTTTTTTTTTATTATTATTTAGTATTAAGAGCCAGATACTAAAAGTGTTGCTGAAGAATTTTCAGGCTCTTGTCCTCTTTGAGGTGAACATGAAGTAAAGGCAGCAAGAATATGGGGTTTATGTATGTGCAGCTCTCTATATCTAGCTTATCCAGACCATGTTTTTCTGCTAGCCTCTGCTAAGCCCATTTTACTGCTCCCTTTGCCTGGCCTACACCATCCCCTCAGCCCAAGAGCAGTTCAAGGGTGAATTGGGATAGGAGTGCCAAGGATCATGCAGCAACAGCAAGACCCCCCTCTTGGAGACTCCTGCGTTTGTGCACTTGGCATTACTGCCTGGACCACTTGCATCCTCGTTGCCTCATTTGTCTCTGTCTGTTTGCTGCTAATGGCTCTAGCAATAGCATCTTTTATTTTCTTGCTCAAGGATGTCAGATGCTTCTGAAAGCTTTTTTCTCTCACGCTGCTGAGAAAACATGAGATTTTAAGAGACTAGGCTAAAAGACAGAAGTAGGGTTTGATGACCAGCAAAGGCCCTCGACTTGCAGTATCCAGTCTCTTCAAAGACAGGTTCTGTGCTGTGGGTTGTGATTTAACCACGCTGTCTTTGCATTTCCAGGGAGTCGACGAGTTGAAGATGAAGCCCAGAGCAGAGTGCTGTTCACCCAAGTTTTGGCTGGTGTTGGCTGTCCTGGCCGTGTCAGGCAGCAGAGCGCGTTCTCAGAAGAGCCCCCCCAGCATTGGCATCGCTGTCATCCTCGTGGGCACTTCAGACGAGGTGGCCATCAAGGATGCCCACGAGAAAGATGACTTCCATCATCTCTCTGTGGTGCCCCGTGTGGAGCTAGTAGCCATGAATGAGACCGATCCAAAGAGCATCATCACCCGTATCTGTGACCTCATGTCGGACCGAAAGATCCAGGGGGTGGTGTTTGCTGACGACACTGACCAGGAAGCCATCGCCCAGATCCTTGACTTCATTTCAGCCCAGACTCTCACCCCCATCCTGGGCATCCACGGGGGATCCTCTATGATCATGGCAGACAAGGTAAAAGCGGGCTGCAGTGAGAAGAGTCTGGCTGGTTTGAATGAAGAACTAAATGATCCATTTGTTTTGATGCAAAACTGAGTTATGAAAGATGGAAGGTTGTTAACCAGAATGCACTGAGTAGATAGACTAGAGATTAGTCTAATTGCTTGGAGATGAAAGGGAGGGAAAGATGATGTCATCTAGTTATGCATAGAGTTTTGCACAGCTTTGTGTGTCCATTTCTTTGTAAACGGATTCCCTGAAATGACTAAGAGATAGAGAAACTTGTAGCTCTGTGATCCATTTTCTTCAAATGCGTATATGAATAGATCCTTCAAAATTCTATTTTTTTAATCTTCACCTGAAGATATTTTTTCCATTGATTTTTAGAGAAAATAGAAGAGAGAGGGAAAGACAGAGGGAAATATCAATGTGAGAGAAATGCATCAATTGGTTGCCTCCTACATGCGCCCCTACCAGGGCTTGGGCCGGGGAGGAGCCTGCAACCGAGGTATGTGCCCTTGACCAGAATTGAACCCAGGACCCTTGGGTCTGCAGGCCAACACTCTAGCTACTGAGCCAAACAGGCTAGGGTGCTCCTTCAAAATTTTAAAATAAGATGTGCTCCATTCTTCCTTCATAATACATATTGTTTACCCATATCAGTTTCAAGAATATGAAACAAAATCTCCTTTGAGGTGGGTAGTTATTTTCCTTGAGGATAAAAATATCATAGAGAAGTACTTCTTGCTAAGGTGTCCATGCTCATCACACATCAGTCTATGTATTTGAGTGGATTTTAACCCATGGAACCAGTAGCAGCTTCATTTCCTCATGCTTACATTTGAAGGCAATAGGTCTGTAACCTTGCTTGCACGTTGGAATCACCTAAACAGCCTTAAGTACCACCAATGCCTGGTTCCGCCCCCAAAATTCTGATTATTGGCCTCGGTTACTGCCTGAGGTTTAGGATTTTTAAAAGCTCCCCTGTTGACTAAGGCTGAGGACCACTGCTTTCAGGTCTCAAATATATCTAGTTGCTCCTACATTAATACTGGATTGTCATATGATATTGTTCTCTGACATTGATGCTTATTCTCTAACCACAAGTTTTGTTGTGGTTATATTTTGTTTTCAAATTTTAAACTTATTCAGTTATTTTTTTCCTTCCTTGATTGCTTATTGCTGAGGTACAGCACTTCTCACTATATATTGTCCTTCACAGTTATTTCTATCTCAGGTGGATTTATTTTACAAGTACAATATATATATATTTTTTATCACTTTGGGTTTTTTAAATTGTTTCTACCTTTTTGTTGTCATTTATACTTTTTAAAAATCACTTTCAAAACCGCCATTAGTTTTTTACTTAAAAGACATGCTGTAAGGTTAATGATATTTGCAAACACCTCGAAACCTAGCACAGACACCTAGCACAAGTGTGCTCCTTGGCCAGTTGAGACCCATTACAGTGCAGGGCTTACCAGAGTAAAGTAACCTTGCATGATCACTATTGCCATCTGTTGGCAGCAGGCATAGATGAGCATCTGTTTGGAGCTTCCTTTATTCAGTCCAGGAAAGGTCAAGTGGAAAGCACTAAGTGGAGGAACTTCGGTGGCATCTGAGAAAGATATTGAAAGGGAAAGATGTTAGAATCAAATGCTGGCAAGAGATGCCCTTGGTAAGAGAATGGAGATAAACTTAAGCAGAATGGAAAATATAGACTGACTATGGCAAAACCTACTGAGTTTTTGCTTCAGGTAGAGTGTTTTGTTAACATTTTCCTCAGCAAGTTATATTTTTGCAGCAGTGTTTCATCCTCTTATTTTTTTGAAATTAAATTTTTATTGTTGAAAGTATTATATATGTAATATATTATTAGCAGTAGCATTTTGAGGGCACAGTATGGCACTGAATAATGCCAAGGTGAATGAGCCAAATTTTTGAAACATAAATAAGTGCTCATTTATTTTGAGAGCAAGAAGGTAAAAATGATTTTTTTTCTTACATGGGCTATTGTGCAACCTATGTTATTTTAGGTCCACCTCACCTCACCCCCAGCCCTAGCAAAAGTGGTTATTGGTTAAATCGATTGGTTGCTTCTCCATTGTGTCTCTTACAAATGCTTAATAATAACATGATAATATGAACTAAGATGCAGATCATGGAGACAGACTGGGCTCTTTTGTCCACTGATGTATCATCCTAGGTGCTTTAGAATATCTACCATATGCTGGGCACATAGTGCTTTGCATGCATTATTTTATTTAATATTCTTATAACCCAGTGAGCTAAATGGTATTATTTATTTCCATTTGACACCTGGGGAAACTGAGGCTCAGAGAGGCTACCTAACATATCCAAAATGACATAGCTAGTAACTGGCAGCCAGGACTGTAAATCGGTTGCTGACTCCAAGTGCTCCGTCTCCTCTCAAGAAAATGGAGAGGTTGATTAGCATCTCACATAACGTCTTACTCTTTACTTTCTCCTCTGTGGTGGATGTTATCTGCCTACATGCAATTCACCCCTTGATTCATAATGGCAATAGTGGAATCTGACTAGAGGAGAGAATGAGTGAGAATGTGACTAGCACTTAGGGGTAGCACACTTCCATTGAGGGCCCATTGGTTACTCCTTCTAGGGGGAAAGGGAGGAGTGAGGCCAGTGTCCAGAGGTGGATTCTTTCAGGTCACTGTAGTGAGATCCCCCTCTGATCTCTTTCCCCTGAGCCCTCCCACCTTTGCAACCAACCCAAATAGCCCGCCTTATCTTTTTTCTCCATCATAAAAGGGAGATAGGCAATGATTTTTAGGCAGTTTCCTAAAAGAGCCTAAATAATGTCTGATTTTTGACCTAACAAGAAGAGTTTCTGAAAAATAGGTAGGAAGAGGAAAAAGAAGAAGGGAGAAGGTCCTAATAGCATGGAAGCCAGAAAGCTAAAGGCTCAGTCACAAGGGGTCACATCCCTGACCGGGTGGCTGGTGGCTGCAGAGAAGGGTGCAGCAGGAACCCCCGGCCCGAGAAGGCAGTGGGGCCACGATTCCAGGGAGCTGTGCTGAGGAACGTTCGCATGCTCAAGCAATTTGCATGAAGGTAATAAAAAGAACCTTCCAGATTTCAGAGAAATAAGGTTTTGGGTCAAGTTTCAAAAATGAAACACCTCAAATTCTAAGGTCAGTTTTTAAAAATAGAAGTTTATTTTTAAGTACCGTGACCACATTCCACAAACATAGAATGAGGACACAGAGTTCCACGACTATGAATCAACTATGAGGCAACAGGATAAAACATTTGAAAGTGGAACTGATGCAGAAATTCTGAGAAACACAGTTTACTTTAAGGTATAGCTGCCATCCAAAAGATGAGAAGTCAGCCTTCCATTTTGCTTCCCCCTTCTAGAAGATAGGTAATTGCCTCTCCATTTTTTTTGTTGTTAATCCTCATCAGCGGATATTTTCCCATTGCTTTTCAGAGAGAGTGGGAAAGATGGAGGGGGGAAAGAGACAGAAGAGAGAGAGAGAGAAACATCAATGTGAGAGAGACATCGATTGGTTTCCTCATACATGCACCCTGATGGGGCTGGGCTCTAACCTGCAACCAAGGTGCATGCCCTTGAATGGCAGTTGAACCTGGGACCCTTCAGTGTGTGGGTTGGCACTCTAACTGCTGAGCAACACTGGCCAAGGCTTACCTCTCCATTTTATTTTATTTTATTTTATTTTTTTTAATCCTCACCTGGGGATATGTTTTTATTGATTTTAGAGTGAGAGGAAGGGAAAGAAAGAGAGAGAGAGAGAGAGAAACATCGATGTAAGAGAGAAACATCAATTTACCTCTCCATTTTAACTTAGCTTTTGTTTGTTCATTTGTTTGTTTGTTTGTCTGAGGTAGAATGCACTTATTAAGTGTCCTTGCAGAAGATTGCATTACAGGGATGAAGTCCCTGATTCAAGGGATTGGTGATGGAAGAAAGACAGCATGATTATAAAGCTTTTTGACAAAATTAGTGAGACACAGGTTCAGCATCTGGTCAAATAGCATGTGCCCACTTTTTCGTATATGTTGATGAATCAGTACAAACATTGATTAATGCTCTGCTTTCCCGAAGAGGAAGCACACCTTCTGCCATGGCCAAAAGAAGCATGGGAACCAGAGAGCAGAGCTGTTCAAAGCTCAGAATTTGGAGTCAGTGGGTTTCAACCATCACTTCCTAGATGTGGGGATCTGGACTATTCACCAACCACTGTAAACGGTTTCCTTGCCTGTATAATGATGATAATAACATATTCATCATAGGGTTTGTGAAGATTTAATGAGATAATACATAGTAAGTGCATAGTAAATGCTTCACTAAGTATCCAGCATAACATTCAGTAGGCTAAGCTGAAGGTTGTATGGAGCAGTTTGAAGAAAGGGAGAAGGTTTCATGATACAGGAAAATAATGGGAATTGAACAGCATCACAGCCAACTGTAGAGACATTTCTGAACTGGAGATCAACTACCTGTCTCCTACAATGGCTGTGAAGTATGGGTGGGAGCCATGGGCCTGTCCCGCCAGGGCAGCTGAGGCTCATCGGTGATACAGCCACACTGCTACCACAAGGACATGTTCTGTTAGAGACAAGCTCTAATGAAGAACGAACTGCTGCCGTTTGTAACAAAAAGACTTTTTCAATAGTAACAGAGACGGTTTATAAATGAATGAAGTGATTTTTGACAGTTCCTCACCTGAATATAGGGAGTGTGTTTTATTTTTCTTGTTATAATTGTTTCTAATCTCCCTGAGATTCTGGACTTAGGATGCCTATCTGAATCCAAGTAACAAACTAAAACTGGACGTATTTCCATTTCTTTCCAGGAGGTTCCTTGCTCACTTGCTGAAGTTTTTCTTGGGTTTTCAGATTTTAGCTCAGAGAGGTTAAGTAACTAATCTGGGATATCACAGTTTATGAGCAATGGGACTGGGAATCGAATCCCAGAGTATTCATTTTGAAGCCTGTGCTTTCTATTTATA